TGCTCCCTGGGCTTGCATATTCTTTCTCTGGATGCTCTGGAGTCCTCCCACAGTCAAACCAAGTTAATTTATAAAGCACGTTTAAAAAGCACCCAACGGAATGAACAAAGCGAAATGAACAGGAAGAAACAAAATAAGTGCAAGAAGCAATCAATTTGTAAAAGAGAATAAAATAGATTAAAATATTAAAACAAGACAAAGTCGGAATGAGAATCAAAAACAGGAGAACAAAGTATAAGACACACACTGGAAATGAAGAACTACCAACAACATGTACACCTTGAGATCCTTCTTAGTTTTAGCATTTAGATATTGTCACTATCACTCTCTGCCGTTCCTCATGTCCCCATCTGAGCACGTGTTATTAGTGAGAAACACTATTTTTTTCCAAATGACAGAGCCAGCGCGGTGCAGAAACACACTGACATGGATTAGAAATTGCGTACTCCATCTTTAATTGCAGACTCAAAATTGGCTGCAGGTGTAAATGTGAGCGTGAGTGGTTTGTTTGTCTCTCTGGTTTGTGATGGACTGACAGCATGTGCAGGGTCTACCTGCCTCCAGCCCAGTGTCAATGAATGGAAGAAGGTTTCCTGAATATAATCACAGGCCGCATCAAAACAGTGAACATTGCACTCGTAGTTGTAACATTAAAAAATAAAACAAACTTTTGTCACCCATTCATCATTAACATACTGTACTTGACTTTGTGGGATGAGTTTACCGCGAGCCTCGCACGCTCGTATTTCTCAGGCACCTGTCGGGCGAACGGAGGGTCTATAATTTTCCGTCACAACAGAGTTTTGATTGACGAGCTGACAGCAAATCACACACTAGGTGACCAGGCGTATAAATCGTAAACAGTGTTGGGTGTGTTGGACAGATGCTCGCAAAAGAGATGGGGATAAAGCTCTTGGGATTTGCGTGTAGGCAAACAATAAAATGCTTCAAGAATTTCAACCAGATGTAGCATTGTTTTTGTGAAACAGCAAAAAAAAAACAAAACAAGATGACATTTTGGTCATGCAGTGTTTATTTCCAATGTCTCTCTGCACAATCATGCTACATTAGGGTCCCAGATGCGTCACAATAATGCAGAAACCTTCAAAAATTGCACTCGTCAGTGGAAGTTTACTATTGTGGAAGTGCACTAACTGAGCTCAAACTGCAGCTGAGTGTTGTTTCTACTCACCCTCCAGTCGCAATTATGTCATTATGAAAGCCACACAAAAGCCCACAGTGGGCTAACTTCAATAAAGTGAAGGAGCATCCGGTTGTTCAGCGTGAGGCATGGGGAAGTAGCTGCACCATGGCTCCCACAGCAGCAATGCTGAATCATCTCGAAAAGCATCCATCTATTTTCTGCAAGCCGGGGAGATGGCCTAACCGAATTAGCATGACAACATTTGTGCGAGCTCCTTGGAAGTGTGACAGAGAGAATATCAGCTTTCATTGCCAATGTCATTGCTAAAGATACGGAGCAGATCAGTTCTGCAGACAATACAACATGATGTGATTCCCTTTGTGCATAATCTGCTTTAGCCGTTTTCAAAGTGTGGCAAAGTGAATATTTGAGTTTGTTTTAGGATACGCAATCAATAGCTGGCAATGAGAAAATGGATTTACGCGCATACCTATTGGATTATAGCGCAGGGGAGACTTGCATCGCGTCCCGGCTGTTGTTAAAAGCAAAGTGCTGCGATGCTCCTGCATGCTTGTCACAGCGAACCAGCCGGGTGAGTTTTGTGAGTAACCACTTGTGTAAACTCTGAGTGGTCTTTATTGTAAACTAAAATTTTCCTATAACCTGCTGTAGTGCATGTGTGAACAGGTTTTCGAGAGGCCACTTGTACGCGGCACAAGTTGTACATTGAGAATATATCCAGCCTGCGCGCATCCTTTCACTAACTGCGGGCGCTTAAATGTCTTGTTGACCCTATAATGGCATTACTTCCGTTAATTAGTTCTATTTATAAGCTGCATATTTTGAAAATCATTTAGGAGCGCTGGTCACTCTGGAGAGCTGTATTCTATTATGTAAATGCCGGAAAACTCGCTTTCCATATATTCTTGCTGCTGAAAGGTAACAGATATAACATCATTTTTCTTGCTGTCATCTCATTAGAGTGCCTGCTACCGGCTTATTCCTCAGCATAACATATATTTACAGATTTACTAATAAATATCACAAGGGCATCTACAAAAATCATCTATTTTTGTTTACCTTCCGCAGAATGATTCATGAATTTGCATTGCACGACAGACCAGTAATTAGTGTACTATTACACAGTGACAATGCGCTGTGTTTCTCCAGGTGGACCTGCAGCAGAACCCGTGGGAGTGCAACTGTGAAGCAGCTCCACTGAAGCGTTGGCTGGAGGGGCTCAGCGCGGTGGTTGTGGTGGGAGAGGTGGTGTGCCATTCCCCGGATAAGACCAAAGGTGTGGACCTGCGCTCCCTCTCCATGGAGCTGCTCTGCCCCGAGCTGGAGCCCCAGGAGGACCAGGAGCGCGAGGAGCAGACAGCCACCTCCACAGCAGCAGACAGCGGCGTATCGGTTGGGTACCCCGGGTCGGGGCTGGGACCCGTGATCCCTCCGAGGCCGGATTCAATCCCTCTGTCGGTGTTAGTGCTCAGCCTGCTGGTGTTGTTTGTCTCCGCATTCTTCGCGGCAGCGGCACTAATCGCCTACGCCCTGAGGAGGAGGGACAAGCTGCCGTTCCGACGCCAGGGAGAGGTAGACTTGGCCGGCATCCAGATGGAGTGTGGAATCTTCACCGAGCAGTCGCACCACCACCACCATCACCACGGCCTCCCGGAGATGCCGCCCCTACCTCCAGCCGAACACAACCATGTCTACGACACCATCTTGCCCCCGGAGGCTGCATCTAAAGGCGCCGATCCGGCTGCAGCCTCGCGCATGTGTAGCAACCCCATCTACAAAGAGGAGCAGGACGCGGCGGTGAAACAGCGACCACCGCCCCAGCAGCAGCAGCAGCAGCAGCAGCAGCAACAACAGACATTTGCAGCTTCAAACGAGTGCGAGGGGGGTTACTGCTCCTCGGCCGAGAAGGAGAGGGAGTGGGCGCTGGAGGTGTCCTCGTCGCCCATCAACACTGTCACGGGGGCGATGGGGCCGCTCGCCGGCCTCCACGGGAACGGCATCCTGTGCCCCACGGTCATCGACAGCCAGGGCCCCACCCCTAAGGTGGAACTGGTGGACTGCCTCTTCAGACTCCCGACCCCCGAGTTCCGAGATCTGCCGGACAGGTACGCGAGGCCCCCGCCCCGCTACCCCCACCCTCAAGACTCCAAGCAGGACGCGAGGCCCGACCAAACGCTCGTGGTCACCACCGGCAGCTCCACGGCGGGCGGTGGCCACGGCAGCCAGAGCGAGCAGGGGGCAGGAGAGCAGAGAGCCAGACTGAGGACCACACCGGACTACATGGAGGTGCTGGACCGCTCGTACCAGTTTTAACATGCCTCCTCTTCCTCACCCTCCTCCTCCTCCTCCTCTTTCTCCTCTTCCTGCTACCCCTCTTCTCTTGTCTCCTCATCATCTCCCTCTCTGGTGATGAATCATCCAGTAACAATGACTCCTGTACAGAGGTTGGCGGGGCTTTGAGAGGAGCCTGTGGGGGAGCGGGACTACACCACACACACTATGTTTATTCCTGGATAACGAGCTGAGGTCAGTTTTTTGTATTTTCCCCACTACTGGCATATAGGTTGGTATTTGGCAAAGGATTAGCTGATCCCAGATCCATGCCTGGAGGCAGCTGCAGCTACTACAGTATTTCGTTCCCCTCCACGGTCGTAAAGTTACGAGGCGCGGTTTTTCTACTCAGCACCACAATTAGCGGGAGACGGCGCGGTGGTGGGGAGTGGGCGTTATTGTTTCGTATTATCACTCTCGAAAGACCTGCGTGGAGGTGAAACACACCAGCTCTTTGCAACATCGAACGCAGAGTCATAAACTGTGACAGCCAGAAGGTATGGAGCGAGCTGGGCGAAAGGATGGAGGAATGACAGAGACAAAGCAAAAGAGGAAGAGAAGTAACCGAAAACAGCCAAGTGCCTTAGCAATGAACAGCCAGCAGTGTGGTCAATGCTTATTTTTCTATGAATACAGATCTATTTATCTAAACAAAGAGGTTTGACTACCAATGGATGGGACGCTGATGGACGACTGAGACTAAAAACCAATCAAAAAAACCCGCCGAATAATTGCATTCCCTGGATGAGCCAAAAATAATAATATACCCAGTCAATATTGGAGTTGTTTGTATGCAGTTCTGTTTCACTTCCATCATCTCATCCAGTTAACTTAATTTGCTTATCCAGTTGAATTTTTTTACAGGGCTATGATGAGGGACTTATCCAGGAATAGTTGTTTGCTGTGTGAAAATATATTAAAAAAAGAGGTTTTATGGAGGAAAGGATACAATTTTATTTTATTTTTTTTCTGAATGCAACTGGAAACAAAGGATTCACAGAAGGACATTGTGGAAACGGATGCATTTTGGATTTCTTAATCAGTCAGACTTAATGGGCCCACAAAGGACCTCTGCTCCACGTTTTCTTTCATCGGACAAAGGCACAGAGGTTATTGTATTGATTTTTAAGTATTTCTCAGAGGAAAAA